GGGCCGCCCTCGGTGCGCTGCGCTCGCTGCGGCCGTTCTCGGCGGCCCGTAGCTGCCCTCTCCGTGTGTGCTCGCGGACTCGCACCTCGGTGCCCGCGCTCTCGCGGCCCGGCCCACCTGTCGCGGGCGGTGTGTGCCGGTGTAAACGGATTCGCGGTCACTTGTCACAAAGGGGGCCGCGCCTGCGCTAGAACCGAGACGTTCCGCCCGGCGGGTCCCGCCTTGTAAACGTGTGGGGACGGGAACTGGGGCTCCTGTCCCGCAGCCTCCGTTGGGAGGAACTGTCGTCGGTGGGAAGGAGCGGCTCGGCTGAGAGAAACGCTCAGGGGAAACGATTTCCCAGAGCAGCGGTGTTAGGCACCCTCTGTGACTCTTTTTGAAAAAGAAGACTGACATACATTGTGTCTGGTGCCATAAATTAACATTTAGGTTGTCCTACCTAAGCAGGTAACTAATGTTTTTTCGCAAGCTACAGAGGAACAGACCTGCTGTGAATATTAAGTGCAGTGTTCAGCACTGTACGGTGGAGCTGAAGGTATTTGTTGTTGACTTATTTTAGCAGATCTCGGCTAAGCCTCCTCCCAGCTGCCTTGCTCCCCGCTCTGCCCCACCACTCAGAGGTGCGGGGGGTCTACCCGGAGATGTTTGGACCATGTTTTAATTGACGTAATGGTGAATTTAATTATTCCTGCCTCAGAGAAGTGTGCCCATTGTGACAGTCTACCTGGGGCGCCTCCCTTAGGCATAACACGGAAGACGGAGGGGCACTTGGGGGTCGCTCCTCTCTCCACTTGTCCAGGACAAGTCAAATGTTAGATAATGCTCTTTTCATAAAAAAACCGTAGTGAGAGGTGGGCTGAGGGAATGGAAAGTTGGAATGGGAGATAAGGTCTAAAACGAGGCATTTATAAAGCCTGATTTGTTTGACCAAGGCTTAACCGAATACATATTTTAATACACAAACCCACTCTAAATGAAAGGCATTAAAGGGTTACTATATACAAATGGTGGTACGTTCAAGGATCGCATCCTTAAGCTCTCACAGGAAAAATACCCAAAATGACAGGGTTGTTACAAGAAAGCTTTCAGCAGAAAAGGGATGGTTGGTGCTAGGATAATGATGCCCCAGCAGTGAACCTTGCTTCAAGAAATTTCTAGTTTCTGGGCTTCAGTTTCCCCATCTCTAAAATGAGAGGATTATTTTCTGATTCATGTTACTGAAGTTTTTCTTCTACTCAGTAGAAAGGTTATATATTTTCTGTGATTTCAGCACAATCAAGCAGCACATAGTAATCCAGATGGATCATTTTTTGAATTTCATTAACTTGAGCCTTGTACAAAGTCAGTGCATGTCAGAATGATGGAAACACGTCCAGCTGTGTCTAATCTCACAAACAGTTTTTAAAGTTAGACCCAGGGGTTATTAGTTTTTTGTTTGATACATAGTCTGATATGTAGTTTTTTGTTTGATATATACCTATTTTAGAGCTTTAAAAACACTTTGTGATAGGAAGTTTTGTTCACTGAAATTTGTGGAAGAATGATTTGTGTATGTCTTTAGATTTTCATATCAGTAGGGAAGTTGGTGTAATTTAAAATATTTTTGGTGTTATTTTGCACTTATATTGAAATATTGGGGGGGACTCTGGAATATGAATGATGGGGAGACATGTTAAAGAGTTTGTACCCTGCTGACTCTCAGCACTATGTCTCTGGTCTAGGGCTCTGTCTTGAACTCCAGATTGCTGAGTTCCAGATTGCTGGGTCTTTCCCCTGAATTTTTAATGAACACCTCAAACTGAATTAATCTAAAATTTAACGAAATAACTTTATTTTTAAAATTTCCTTTTCTATGTGCTGACATTTTTCAGATCTTCCAACAGATATGTCAAATGTATAGTAATATATTTTTTTTTCAAATGTTCCTCACATAATCTTCCTTTCTTTTTTCGTTTCCCATGGAGATCTTCCCCTTGAAGCCCTCTGTCATCTTTGCTCACTACGACGGATGCACAGCTATTTCCTGATGTTTCCCTCTGTCCCCCCTTGCTGGAGCCTGTTTCTAGAATCTGTCTTGTCTGTCAGTGTACTTTTATTTAGCTAGGTACATCTTTCATCAGCTTCCTGATAAAGAGTGCATGGGAGATCATTTTTTCTCAAGTCCTTGCAAGTCTGAAAGTCTTTATTCTCCTTCCATCCTTGGTTGCTAGTTTGGCTGGATAAATAGCTCTAGTTTGAACATAGTTTTCCCTCACAATTCTGTAGGGATTATCTTCTGGGCTTCTAGCCTCCAGCACTAACTATTGAGGAATCTGATACCATTCTGATTATTTTTTTCCTTCAGTGTGTGACTTTGGCAGGGGCGGGCAGGGAGACATATGAAACTTTAAGGATCTTTTCCATAGTGTTTATAAATTTTAAGATAATATTACTTGACATGGGTCTTTTGCATTCACTGAACTCTTTCAGAGTTGGAAACTTTTATTCCTTGGAAATTTTCTTGTATTTTTTAAAATAGTTTTCTCCACAACTATTTCTCTTTTCTCCTTTTGAGATTTCTTTTATTTGAATTCAAAACCTCACGTATTGGTCCTCTAATTGTCTTGCCCTTTTCCCCCTATTTTCTGGGGTTTTTTTTACATTTTGTTCTACCTTGTAGGTCAAATATTGTGAATATTTTTATGATTCCTGATGCATATTGTTCTAGTATTTTCAAAGAGATGTCCTGACAGTGCCACCAGAAGTGTCCAAGTATCTCAGTTAAATTATAGGTGCATCATTATTGGATAGTTATCATAAGTAGAAAAACACCTTATCACCCCAAACAAAGTAATATGAGACAAAAAATGGGCCAGAATATAACCTATTGAATATTCCAATTATTCACATTTACTTAATAACACATCCTTTCATTTCTTGTGTCATGTTTCTGCTAGCCCAGTATCAGGCATCTTGGGTGTAATATGACACAGAATAGTTTTGAACAGTGGTCTAGAAATACTGTAACCAATGCCATTGTGAACATGGCATAATAGGGTTAGATTTATGATAGCAGGTCATTTATTTGAAGATTGAAATTAATAAAAAGTGATACTAATGAATAATAATGTCCTTGGTTAAAGAGGATTATTGCTGAAGCAAGGGCAGAAATGATTTAAAGAACAGAAATAATGGTCTTAATGTGAAACTAAGGAGTCTAAAATTCATTAAATGATACTTAAGAGTTACAAGAAAGTGCTTTTTAGATAAAATAAATAAAATTGAAGGGGTAAAACACTTGATGGGATAAGGGGGATAAAAGTCCACCCTGATTATGGAAATGTATCCAAGACCTCTTTGGCACCTGGTCTTAAGGAAATGTTATCAATCTTTTTGTTTCGTTTATTTACTGAATAGGGAATGTATTTGTGCGATTCAGAATGAAAATGATTAAAAAATGCTGCTTAATGAAAAAAATCTTCCGTCTCCCTTTGTGTTCCTGCTTTCCAGCTTCTCTCCCTGAAGGCAGTGAATAATATTAGTTTCTTATCTATTCTTCCAGAGGTAATTTGGAAATATTCAGACAGATACAAATATTCAGCAGTTACACACTAGGACAGCTATACTGTTTGCATCAGTTGTAAATGGTGCTCAAATATTTTTAAAATTCCCCATGTGCCAAGGTTGGGGTTTTAATCCCCAGTCAGGGCTCATGTAAGAATCTACCAATGAACAATAAATCAATGTCTCTCTCTCCCCTTCCTCCGTCTCTCCCTCTTTCTCTCTTTTATATATACACTTTTTTTTAAGTTAGGAAATTTGAATGCTAAATAAATACTTAAACCTTTCATTAGAATGGCAAATGTGTCCTCTGTAAGTTCATGTTAGATAAAGTGAAAACTTGCAGTCATCAAGGAGGACAAATTAAAAACATGAATCTGCTTCACAGTAAAACATTTGGAAAAAATTTGCAATAACATTTTTTTTTTATCAAAGAAGTGTCAAAAAGACACCTGTATTATACTATCTACTGGAAGTTAAAAACAAGCATGTTTATACATTAATAGATATAGAACTTAAAAAATTATATTGATATAAGTAATTCACTTGCATTCTAGATTTCTTGCCCTTTCTGGTTATAAAACACTTGCTGAAATGAGAAAAGGACTTTTTAGAAAATTTATAAACCAAGGCAGTAACATTTTAGTCAACAAAGCATCAATTGTTTCACATACCAGGTTTTAATAGTTTACTTAAAATGCAAAATTCATGGCTTAGAAGACAGTTTAATAGCTTTCGTTGGTCTAGAACAAGGCAAGGCTGTTCTCATGCCTATTTAATATTGTACTGGAAGTCCTAGATAGAGCAGTAAGGCAAGAAAAAGAATGTGCATACAGATTGGAAAAAGAGCTAAAATTGTCCCTATTCACAGACAACAGAATTTTATTTTTACATGGAAAACCTCAGAGAATCTACAAAAAAAGCAAGGTCACAGGATACAAGGTCAGTACAAAATTATTGTATTTCTATATACTCACAATGAACAACTAGAAATTGAAATTTTGAAAAATCCAAATAGAATTCTGAAGTCAAAATATCTAAAATGGTATTGTTATTTCATAGAAGCTGAGAGTAGATTTAATACTATGAATAATGTCATTGCAACTAAGAAACATTTTTTTGCTCAGTGAGAACAACTTACTTAATGACTATCAATGTAATGGGAAAGTCATTCGATGCAGTTCATATCAGCACAAGGCTCAGCTAGGGCAGCACTTAGCTAGATTCAGCTGTGTCTAACAAAAGATCACAGCAGAAAATCAATATTTGTTTTGAACAGTTTGCACTACAATTTATAACAATTGATAAGCAGTTTTATATATAGTTAGCAAATAAATAGGAATATTTGTTCATTACACTGATTTCTATATTAATATTACCTTGATTAAATAATTTATACATTGCCCCTCCCCCCCTTTACAGAAATAGTGACATAGCAACTGTCCATTTTGTGGCTTTGCTTTTTTGACTTATTTAGACTGGAGATCATTTCAAATTTTTACATAAAGAATTATTCTTTCTTTTTCATGACTGTATGATAGTCCATAGTATACCATAATTTATTAACCAGCCCCCTACTAATGGATATCTGATATCTATGTTCCCAGCTTTCTGGTATTTAGAAACAATGCCGTTGTTAAAAGAAAAGGATCCAAAGCCTCTTTTTTCCTCAAGCATCGTAATAATAAGGCATCACATATGATTTTAGCCCAATGGATAGTATGCCAGCTGAGAAGTGTATAATATGTTAAACCTTACATATTAAACCTATTAAATCTTACAAATTACTTTGCATTTTTCCATCAGTTTTTTTTCTTAGCCTTTTTTCACCGGGAAAGTGTCGGGATAGTGTCTATAACAATATTTATAAACTTTACCTGTGCTAAATGTTACCTTTTTTGCTTCCTACAGTGTGAAGATTGCTCCTGGAGCAGTTGTGTGTGTAGAAAGTGAAATCAGGGGTGATGTAACTATAGGTAAGAAATAGTTTACTAGTGTTGTTTCTCAAGAATTGATGTGATTTCATTTGTGTTTTACAGTAACTAGGTATTATATTTGTCTGTTTCACTGATGTCCTTATTTTATTGACAAAACAATATATTTTTTTCCCATAAGTGTTTTGTGTTTCTAAAAGAATGTAATGTGATGGAGTCTTTTATGTGATGGAGTCTATTTAAACTTCTATCTGATAAACTAATGAAGCAATATAAGTCATTCATTTTACATCTATCGTATACCTACTATGTGCCACGCACTGTGCTAGCATAGGGACACAACAATGTTTATTTTTGACCCACTCTTTAAAAATAATTGTGCTCAAATACATTACAGAAATATCTTAACTTAAAAATTAAGGAAAAGATTCAGAAGTGATAAAGTTACTCATTGTCCTGTCTTCCACAATTTTTATCCCATTTTCATTATGTGTGTTTCTTATCTTTAATTGTATATATAAATATGGAAATTTTCCAGAATTGGTATTTAGATAGTCATTTCTATCATTGTTATATAAAATATACCAAATATATAAAAAATAGTATATTTTGTACCAAATATACTATTTTGTATATTGGTACAAAATATACTATTTTTTTTATTGATTTGAGAGAGAGAGGTGGAGAGGGAGAGAGAGAAACGTTGACTTCTTGTTCTACTTATGCATTCATTGGTTACTGCTTTGTCTTTTCTTTTTTTAAAGTATTTTTTAATCCTCAGCCAAGAGTATGTTTTTCAGTTGAGTTTTAGAGAGAGGAAGGAGGAGAGAAAGCGAGAAACATTCATGTGAGAGAAAAACATCGATCGGTTATCTCCCATCCTTCCCCACCCAGGGTTCAAACCCACAACCTAGGTATGTGCCCTGACTGGGACTCAAACCCCAGCCTTCTGGTGTACGAGACAACTCTCCAACCCACTGAGCCAACTGGCGGGAGCCATTGGTTGCTTCTTGTATGTGCCCTTACCAGAGATCAAACCCATAACTTTGGTGTATTCGGGACGACGCTCTAACCAACTGAGCCAGCTAGCCAGGGCATCCTTTGGCTACTATTAATTCATTTTTCTGATATAATACATCAGATTAGAAAGCTCCTGGGAGATACAATTATAAAGTTAAAGCACAGAGTAGAGATAAGTTATCTAATTAAAACTCAATCGCCCTGCCATGTCTTATTTTTCACTTTATAGCTTTTATTGTTTTTGTTTTTTATTAATTTTCCAGAAGAATTAATTTGTCTTTTTCCTGTTATGCTATGGATATGGAGATTTGAGCACTTAATATAAGCTGTTTCCTGGGTTAAGTAGCAATAAACTTTAGTGTAGTTTAATTAATAGATTTTTCAGGATGTTATATATAACTTTTTATCCCCTAATTGGTTATACTCTTACCATATTATACCATTATGAAATATTTTGGGAAGAAAATAATTTTTTCCTTTGCTACATTTCAGTGTAGTAGAACTCTAAAACCAATCTTTTATTTTCCTAGAAAATCAGGTATTTGGTTAAACAAAGAAACTAGTCTGAAGCTTTGAAGTATTTTCCTTAACCAGAAACTCTGTGACTTGAGGTTCTGCTGGAGCCCCTTCATTAGAGACTGCTAAAAAACAGACCTTGGGAAAAATAACAGCTCTCTTGTTAATTATAATTTGAGGTTTCATAATATCAAGCCTGTTTTTAATTAGGCTGCCTTGATTCGTGGGCCATGGGTTATTTCCTGTAAATTTTATTTTGAATGCTGAAAACATTTCAGATAGGTACCATTAAGCACAGTCCTATAGCCCCATAATAGGGTGAAAGGCTGTTTCCTGATGTCAGGACTGGGCTTGGTTGGGACATCATAGTGTGAAGGCAGAACTTGGCACAGTGGAAAAGCTCTGTGATGGAGGCACTTTGTCCCACTTAATTCTGTCTTTCTCTTCATTCGAGTTTTTAATTTAGATCAAAAGCTTCCCTTTTATTGTGGAAATATTTTTCAATAAGGCAGAACAGTGGCTTTGACTTGAGAAATTCCCGGACTATAAAGCAGTTCTTACAGGTACGTCAGCTTACAGGTCAAAGGAATCGTTTTAATTTTCAAAACAAAGCTTGTGGCTTTTTCAACTATTTATTGACATATGGAAACAAACTCAGAGATTACTTTCTGTGGCAAAGATAGAGAGGAAAAATGCCCTTAACCAAATGAGGAGAATGGAAATTTGATGCAAGGAATGTCTTTCTGGCTATGTTGCATCAAGCCCAGCCAACCATTTAGAAAAATATTTCATCAGCCAGTAAGACAGCTCCAACTCTAGACACATTTATCCAAACAAGGAGATAAGCCAAATAGGGTTTCACCACATGTGGTAAGAAAATATACAAACTACCCTGCCAGAAAGAGCCCCAAGAAAGTTCACAACAGCTTTGGGGGGGGGGG